AGAATATTATTAGATTGAAAAATCCCAGCCCATCTCCTACTACTCTCCGCCCCCCCAAAAAAGGCACAAAAGGCAGTTGAGGAACCAGGTTGAGGCAGTTTGCTCTCTTGTGTCCCTGTTTGATCCCTGGGTCACTTAAAGCACCAAATCTCCTCCTTACTGGGTTTTTATTGCGCCTGGAAAGGCAATGACATCAATAAAAGTTTGTTGTTGAAAATAAAAGACGCAGCCTATGACTCAGGATCCGTATTTGGGGAGACTTCATACCCCCTGATTTCTTCCGTGTCTAGTCACTTTCGGCTTCTCACTACCCAGATCATTCCAGTGCACCCACCCTGGGGTTATCCCCAGGCAGGGAAACTAAGAAGGTGCAAAAAACAGATGAAAAGCAAGAAAACAACAATTCTAAAAGGTTGACATTGACGCCAGAGGATGTCTGCGTTGGAAAGGACCGAAGGGTCCATTAACCCCACCTCTCCCAGCACGGGAGCCCTCTTTGCCGTGCCTTGGACGGGCATCATCCGACTCTGCTTCATGACTTCCAAGGCCTGGGAGCCACATCCTGCAGTTGTCATCTGCAAACTCGATGGGCCCACAAGCCACACCTCAATGTCCTTGAAGCCCTTCTGGATTTCACACAGCCAGATACATTCCTTGTGGTGTGCTACGAGAAGCGTGAGGGAAAGCTTCCCTGAGCCTCCTCCCGTGCTATGGTGAGAAGAGAAGGCAGGGAAGGAGACCAAGATGGGGCGAAGAGAGAAAGGGTGGCCTGGTATTGCAGTCTTCAGGCCGGAATGATTTTCCCTCTCACCTTAGTGGCGTGGTTTCCAAGTGCTGTTTCCTGGAGCAATGCCACACTGGTGGCTGCAGAATTCCCGGGGAGCTTTGTACAGATTCCCAGACTCCATCCCTGAAAGTTGAATTCAGTACATCTGGGGTGAGACCTGGGCATCTCTGTTTTGTTTTGTTTTTAAAAGCTGCAGATCATTTTGAAGTGTATCCAGGTTCAAATGCACTTCCTTAGAGAGCTCTGGACTAGGTCATCCCATCCCTGGTGATTAAAAACGCTTGTGCAAGCAGATCACTCTTAGGTCCTCTGGCAGTTTTCTGTAAGCATATTTTTGGGCCGTTAAAGGCAGCTCAATTAATCCCTGGGGAAATAACGCTTTCCTGCTGTCCCCAAACCTAGCCATGTCCTAGCAGCGGTCCCCAACCTTTTGGGCACCACAGGGACCGGTTTCACGGAAGACAAGTTTTTCCACGACTGAGGCGGGGTGGGGTGGGGTGTTGTGGGGGAGGGGAGGGTGGTGCGGAGCTCAGGCAGTGATGGGCGAGGCCCGTTTCCTAACAGGCCAGGAGCCAACACCAGGCCACCGCCCAGGAGTTGGGGACAGCAGCAGCCCTGGAGGATCACCTGGGCCCTGTGTCTGGGCCTCTCATTCTCAGCACAGCTTCCAGCTCGCTCTCTTTGTTGTGGGCCAGCCGAGATGCTGACAGGAACAAAAATGACTTGTTTTTGAGAGTAAAGATACAAGCTATGACTCAGATGACGCACATGTCCACAGAAGGAGACTCTCACATCCGACCCACCTTCTTCCGTCCACAAAGAGTCACGTTGCTACTCTAACCACATCACTAATTCCGAAAGATGGGGACTCCTACACACGGCCTCCAGGTCAATGCCTCCGATCGGGGAAGGGAGCTGGAAGGCACCCAGCCCCAGACTCCCGGCACCCCAAGTTCTATTGGCAGCGGCAGCCAAAGCCCAGGGCGTACCTGCACCGCGGAAGGCAGTGTTCGCGGTTCTCGGACTCTCTGGCTGCCGACTCTTGGGCCAGGAGATCCGCCTTTTGAGCAAGCAAGCCCAGGTGATTCTGAGCAAGGCTGGGGCTTGCACTCTGCCCATTCGAGACCGAATCTCTAAAAAGAAAAGGGATCTGGCAAAGGGAACGCCTTCCCTCCCAGGGCCATCGCTGCATCTGTTCTTGAGACCTTGGCCAGGTCCCTTGTTGCTTTCACGTTCCCTTCACCTTCCTGTCCCCCTGTCTTCCTTAAGAGACCTTCTCATCTGCCAGAAGATCGGTCCTTTTTATGAGGCTAGCGGTTAACCTTGCTGGGGAATCTAGTCTTGTTTCATGTTTTTTTTTGGTATGAAATCTAATTATTTATTTATTTAAGTTCAAAGTATTGCACAGGGACACAAACACTTTGGTGACATGCATTGCCTTTGCACTTCCCGAGTCAGAGCTACAAGCGTGCCCAGCCCCCAGACAGCGTGCACCGCCCCCATAAGGTGTGACTTTGCCCGCCCCCTCCTCCCCGCTCCCAGAGGACCCAGTTTTATACCTTGGGGCAGAGATGACAGTGAGGAGACAGGACGAGTGGGCAGAACTGCACGGGAAGGGACTGGACATCGTGGCCATAGGAGTCCAGGCTTGGAACCTCCCTATGGCAGAAGATAAATAAAGAATGAGAAACCCACACCGCTGTTATGTCACTGAGAATTGAATTATTAAGCTGTGACTCACCCGCTCGGCTCTTTCCCAATTCGCTTGGGTTGTGGAATCAGAAGACCTGGATTTACGTCATGGCTCCGTCGCTTATTGGCTGGGTGCTCACGGGCACACCGTTGAACTCTCTGACATTGATTTCCCTTATCTGTGAAATGGGTAGTGACGGGGCCGCTGTCAGTTTTGATGAGGTGACAGGTTAAAGTGCCTAGCGCAGGTTTTGGCACATGGAAGGCATTCAAAAAAAAAAAAAACCCACCCTAGACATGATTAATAATATAACCCCATAACGTATACTTTCCAGGCTCGCCTCCTCTTGCTACACTTTGCTCACTCTAGGCAGCAGGCAACACCGATTACTTACTCTTCTCCACGGCCCCGAAAAGCCACAGGCTTTGGAGTCTAACAGAGCTGATGTAACCTCATCTCCGTCACCAACTCACGGGCTGTGTGACCTTCCCAAGCCTCGGTCCCCTTCTCTGTGAATAACAGCCACCACCCTAACATTTTGCCCAGGCCCAGCACAGCAATGCACAAGAGCCCAGGGCCCTGCTCAGAGCCTAATGGGCTCCAGCCGCCCCTCTCCCTCCTTCCCTGCAGCCCTCTGTGTTTGCCCAAGCCCTGCCCCAAGTGTTTCTTGCTCCTGAAGTGCCCCTTCCCCTTTTTCCGCTTGCTGGAATTCTTCCCGAAGCTGTCTTCACCCTACCCTGACCCCAGCAGAAAAGATGCCCAGATAAACCCTCCCCCCTTCACTAACAAATAGAGTATTTACTGAGAGTCTGCTGTGTGCCAGGCACTGTTGCTGGTGCCCAGGGATACAGAGATGATTAAGGTCTTCTGTCTACCTTAACAAAAGGGCAAATAACCGTCCGCCAAGGAGGGGAGAGTAATAACAGAAGTGACTCAAAAGTGCGGGGACAGCACAGAAGAGGGAGCTCTTGGTTGTGACTCAGGTGGGTTGCAGAGACAGGGACCTTTGACTGGAAGGATGAGTGATGTCTGACAGGCAGAGAAGAGGGCAAAAGCTGCCAGGACTGGCCCAGAGCTGCAAACATTGGAAACAGGCAGGCGGGCCAGCAGGGCTGGAGGCTGGCCAGGAGGGAGAGGGCATGGGGACCCGCCAGACAGGAGGGAGGGGTGCAGGTGTGAACGGTCTTGGCTCTGGCCAGGGAAAGGTCCAGGAAGTTGACTCCATTCGGTCCGGACCCAGGCACATGAGGAGAGCAGACCTGCCATCCCCTAAGGAACATTCTAGAACAGGCGTAATCTCTGGAATCCTTCATCTCCAGTCCCCATCATAACATTGGCCAAAAGGTCATGGGCTACAGGCTTATAATCTGGAAGACTTGGGGATGTGGCAACACACTTCTGCCGGCTTTTTTTTTTTTTTTTTTAGCTACAAATGGACAGCTTTTCTTTTGATTTCTTAAATCCAATTGCAAAATTTAGAAAATCCCATGCCCCTCGTGAGGGAGTGAAAGTTAGAAGACCTGGTGCTTTCTGAGGAAGATTGCAATTTGGGAGTGAAAATTTCACCAGCGTCTCACACTCCAGACATTTCTCTCCATGAGCCAGAGGTCAGTGACCACGGGGCAGGAGCAAAGCCTTCTCCTAGGGCCTTCTAGAATGTATTCCTGGCCACAGGCTGTTGCCGGTCTCCAGGCTCTGCCCAGCCGGCATCATTGCCCCAGACCCCGGGCCGCTGGCTGTGGATACTCACCCATTGCTGCTGGGCTTAGCACACAAAACCAGGAAGGGCCACGGCCAACCTTCCCTTCCCTCCCTTTGCCGCCATGTTTCCTGTGCTCTGGACACCCCGAGTGTCTCACCTTCCTCCAGATGCAGCGGACCTTCCACAGGGCCTGAAATCCCCTTCCAGATTAATCGCTCGATCTGGAAGGGTCCGATCACCATCACTCCTATCTCCTTTCCCCTGCTCCCCAACCCCCCCAAACACCGGCACACTCACACACCCAACTCTCCCTGGCAAACTCCTACTCACCCTTCAGGCTCAGTCACATGCCACTCTTCGCAGCAAAACCTCCCCTAGCCATCCCCTTCTCCCGCAGGTGGCAAATGTCTCTCCCTGAGGTCTTACGGCACTTCTCCCCCCCTCCTTACGGACACTGTCCTGTTGCATGGCAACACGCCTGACCCTCCATCGGTGACCTACCCCCAGAGAAACTGAGCTCTTCCAGGCAGCACTGGAGACTCCCACACGTCAATCCTGAGTGCCCGGCGTGCAGTGGATTCCAGCAAACCCTGTCCCCGATGGATGGTCTTCACCACTGAACTGGAAGCTCAGAGAGGTAAGGACTTTCCTTGCCCTGCTTGGCAGCCAGGACTGTTCCTGAGATGCAGAAGGTCCTCGATACAAATCGATTGAATTAATTGAATTTAATCCACTCAGGACAATTCAATGAAATGAAAGACTTGGCCAAGTTCTTGAAAACTGATTTATTTGGAGATTACCTATGACTTTGGGTGTTAAGTACATGTCCAATTTTTTTTTTCTTTGCACAAGCTGTGAGATAAGTGAAGATAAATAAACCAGCTTATAGGTAGGTGGGAGAAGGGATAAGATGTTTACAAAGACAATACTAACACAAGGTAGAAAGTAATGCATGCCAAGAAGAGGGACAGAGACAGGGGACTCAGGAGGAAGGGGACTTCTTCCATAGCATCGATCGGTCAGAGGGTCTTCGTGGAGGACGCACCATTTGACCTGGGGCACCATTTATGATGTGTTCCCACCTTGACTCTCGAAGCCACCTGACCCTGGTCCCCTGATTGCAGGGTGGACACCTGACCTAAGCTGAGCTGTTAGTCCGTCTCCCAGGAATTTGGACTTGGGACTTCAGAGCACGGGTCAGCCTCGGCTGGCCCCTGGAATTAAAGACAGTAGCCTTGAGAGCTGGGTAGCTGTGGTCTCCTGCAAGCTGCCCAGAAGTGCAGAGAGAGCTGGTCCAGGGAGAAAGCAGGATGCAAGGACATCAAGAAAAGTCGGAAAGTAACCAGGCATGTGTCCTGCAGCAGCTTCTGTTCGTGGATATTTTGAGATACCCTGGGCTCCTTACAATACGACCCCCTTTCCGCTTCAGGTAGCTGATTTTATCATTGCAGCTAACAACCTTGGGGAAGACTGAGCAGGTGTGAAGAAATGGGCGTGACCAGGGTGGGAGCTGATGGGGAAAGGGCGTGAGGGCAGGGTTTATTGGTCTTCCTTTCCACCCTACACTCCGCCTCTCACCTTCGATTTCTCCAATCTGAAGACCCCTCCATTCCCCCTCGAGCTGGCCAGCAGCCTAGCAGTGAGGGACCTCCCGACTCAGGCAACGGCAGTCCTGGCAGTCTTCCAGACCCTTGAAATCAACCAGGCATCTCTGGTCCCAGGGAACGGTCCTACATCCGAAGTCCCCAGAACGGAAGCGACTCACCCCAGGGGACAGAGCCCAGGGGTGTTTGCACACACGCATGTGGATGGCGCGGAACACACAGCTCCGCAGGCTTCCTCTGCACATCTTCTTGGAATCACGTCGGGCTTTGCAAGCACTTCTCTGCGGAGGAAAATCATAGACAGTCATCGCCACAGAAAAACTATGCTAAGCTCTCTCCTGCTGGTGGCTTTGAGGTCTGCAAAAGTGCACACATGGCAACCTCTTTACAAAAACTCAGCCCAGCTGCTCTGAATCGAATCACGCCCTCAGTCAAGGCTCGCTCGCAGGAGCCGGACCGGTGGTGTTTCTCAGCGGGGCGTGGGACTCTGACATGTGTCACATCAGGTCAGGGGAGGGGGCAGCCAGATTTTATGGGGCCCCGAGGCATGCACAGGAGGGAGAACTCTCTTTAACAAAAAAACATGTATATAACATTACTAATATAAAATTAGGTTCCGGGGCTTTGGAAAGAGCCAATGCACGTAAGACACCCTGAGGCTTTAGTGTTATTAGCTTCACAGGAAATCGACTTGGGGTGGGGGGATGGGAGCCTGAACTTAAGCTTCACTTTCCTTTTCCCTGTCTTTGTCACTTCTGTACAAATTGAAGCCCCCAAAGACTGTGGTCCCACAACAGGACCATGTCCCCCGCAGAGGGGATGCCTGGGCTGGAGTGGCCCCTGCAGAGCAGAGGGAACAAGCCTGGATGAAACACCAGGCCAGGCAAGGAACATGAGCTCTGCAGCTTGGAAGCGGGGACGTGAGCCAGTCCTCTAATCCAGGAGTTGCCCAACTCGATCCCGTTATTTCTACCTCTCATAGATCATCCTCCTTTCTGGACGCCCTCTAAGTCACACAACCCCTTCCTTTGGAGGGGGCAGGAGGGAGACTCAGCCACCCTTCATCCTGATCCTGCAGGACCGCTGCAGGGTCTGAGACATTACGAAATGCAGCTAGGAAGGGGAGCGTGGAGCCAGGCTGCCTGGGTTTGGAGCCCAGTTCTCTTCCCCTTAGCTAGGTGGCCTTGTGCAAGTTATTTCAGCCTTCTCTTTGACTTTCAGTTTCCTCTCTGCAAAATTGAGCAAAAGTGATGAGATGGGTCTCATAGGGTTGTTGTGAACCAACAGGAAAAATGTCTGACACCATAGATAGGGCTTGCGAGATTGACTCTCATAGGCCATAACTTGCCCGAACTTCCGGCCAACAGCTGTTGGTTTTTAAGGCTCTGGTCTCACCACCCTCACGCAGAACAAGCCCTCTCGTTGGAGAAGTCTCTTCCCTCTCCTTGAGGATCTCAAAGCATTTCTGAGATATGCTACCTTGAAGCAGCAGACAAGGAACTTGAGAGGCAATTTCCCCCATTTTACAGCCGGCCAAGGTAAGGCCCAGGGGCTTCTAAGCAGGGGGCCAAAGCTTGAGAGAAAAGCAAAGGCGTGTGTACAAGTAGAGCCCTTTGGTGCTGTTCTCTGGACTGGGAAGAGGTAGAGCTGCCCCTTTGGGACACTTCGACTCTGCCTGGGAACCTGTTAAGAAGGAGGGGCGGGCGACAATTGGTCCAGGGAAAGTCACCTGTCTCCGTGGCCTATACCAGGTATGTTCTGCTTCCTCCTTCAACTTCAGTTTGGCACAACCAGACACAGAAGGTTCTGGTTTCTCTGAGCAAGGACTGGCTGCCAGGAGGGCTGTCGCCTGATCTATTCATAGCTCTGCCACCAGATAGCTCTGAGATTCTTCTTCTCTCTGTAAAATCAAGGACTGGGTTGATTGACTTCTACGGTCCGTAAACTTATTCAGAAATTGGTTCATCTTAGAGTCATTTGGAGAAAGAGCCAGAAGCCAGTGTCCCTGAATGTCGCACTTCCCACCAAGCGTGACGCCTCCTCTAGGCTCCCAGCATGTCCCAGAAAGCCCTGACCCCTGAGGGGACCCAGCGTGAAGTGGCCAGCTGCCAGCACGCTTTGGCCACGGAAGCTCCAGTGTTTGCGGGTGACCCCAGAGGGTCAGGAGGAGACATCGGGAAGCATGGTTGGGTCTTACACAAGAGAAAAAAAAAAAAATCAGGGAACTGAGCTGCTTCAATTTGGAGAGCAGTTTTTCAAGTAATATTATTTTTTAGGCAAATGAACATAGACGCCTGCCTGTTGCCAATACAGGAATTCACAGACTTTTTCCTGTTTTCCAGGAAAAATAATGAGGGGCTCAGGCTCAAACTACAGTGGCGGAAATTTAGACATCTGCAAGACTACCTGAGCCCTCTGAGGTGGGCGGTGTGGAAATGGGTCAGTGTGGAAACCCCTCGGTCCTCTGACGTCCACGCGTTCTGCTTAGGAGGATGTGTGACAAGACCTCCACCTCACCCCACCCTCCACCATGGAGTCCCTTCCTGCCTGCGAATTCTAGAATTGTGCACGGGTTGAGCAAGAAAGTACAAAGGAGGACTGACTTGGCAAAATCCCACGGGGCCCTGGTGAAAGGAACAGGTTTGGCAATGAATGTGTCACAGCGTGACCCCAGACAAGTGACTTAATTTGATCGTGCAAAATTCGAGGATGTTCACATCCTGTCCAGAACAGAGTCTCCACACTGCCGGGGGGGGGCGGGGGGAGCCCTGACCCCTCGAGGCTGACCACAGCAAAGGAGTCAGGGAAGGTTCTTCTTCCTCCAAGTCATCCTCCAGCCTCACCCTCGGCACAAGGGCTCTGTGCCCTGGGTCGTCAGGCAATGCCACCCGCCTCCTGGGCTCTGAAGAGCCCCGGTTTGTAGCCCGAACTGGACAAAGGGTGAGGGTCCAGACAAAGGTGATGACAGCATTGTCTTCAGGGCCTCCTAGAGTGATGTTTGAAGTTGCCAGACTAACAGAGATGACGAAGGACACTTTGAAACACGGCCATGCGTTGCTTTAATGATGGGGACACGTTCTGAGAAATGCATCATTAGCTCTCAGCCTTGTACAGACATTACAGAGTGTACCTACACAAATTTAGATGGTACAGGCTACTACACAGCTAGCCGTAGGGTACAGCCTAGTGCTCCTAGGCTACAAACCTGGACAGCATGTTGCTGAATACTAAATACTGAATACTGCAGGCAGCTGTAACACAATAGTAAGTATTTGTGTATCTAAACATATCTAAACATATAAAATGTGCCAGGCATGGTGGCTCACACCTGTAATCCTACCACTCTGGGAGGCCAAGGTGGGAGGATTGCTTGAGCTCAGGAGTTCAAGACCAGCCTGAGCAAGAGCAAGATCTGGTCTCTTCTAAAAATAGAAAAAAATTAGGCAGGCATGATGGCACACACCTGTAGTCCCAGCTACTCTGGAGGCTGAGGCAGGAGAATCACTTGAGCCCAGGAGTATGAGGTTGCTGTGAGCTTTGATGACACCACTACATTCTACCTCGGGTGACAGAGTGAGACTCTGCTAAAAAAAAAAAAAAAAAAAGTCATATAAAATGTATAGTAAAAAAATACAGTATTATAATCTAACAGGACCAACTGTCATATATGCAGTCTATCTGATATACGGAAATGTCAATACACAGTGCATGATTGTAACCCTCCTGGAGCTCACGGAGAAAAACAATAGTAAGTAAAAATAACATAGCACAAGCCACCCACCTAGTAACTATTAACAATTGTAACAATTAACAATTGTGATTGTTAATTCTATGTGTCAACTTGACTGAATCACAGGCTGCCCAGATGTTTCGTTAAGCATTATTTCTGGGTGTGCCTGGGAGAGTGTTTCTGAAAAAGATTAGCATTTGAATCTGTGGACCGAGTAAAGGAAATTGCCCTGCCCAATGTGGGCGGGCACCATCCACTCTTTTGTCTCATAGGACAAAAAAGTGGAGGAAAGGAGAATTCACCCTCTCTGTCTGACTGCTTGAGCTGAAACATTCATCTTCGCCAGCCGGGGCACTCTTGTTCCCAGGCATCAGATCTGAGCTGCAGTCTTTGAACACCATCGACTCTCTGGCTCTCAGGCCTTTGAACACCATCAGCTTTCTGGGGCCACCAGTTTGCAGATAGCAGACTGTGGGACTTCTTGGCCTCCACAATTGCTTGAGCCAATACTTTATAATAAATTATATATGTATATGTATACATATGTAGAGAGATGCATATATACATATATTCTCTTGGCTATGAGTCTCTGGAAAACCCTAATACAAGAATGAGCTGAATTAATCAAAAGTTTCTTGGAGAAGGTGAGTTTTAAGGCTGTAAACAGAAAAAATAAAAGAGTTGTCCGGGTGCGGTGGGGCATGCCTGTAATCCTAGCACTATGGGAGGCTGTGGCAATAGGATTGCTTGATGCCAGGAGTTTGAGGTTGTAGAGAGCTATGATGACAATACCGCACTCTAACCTAGGTGACAATAAGACACTGTCTCAAAAAGAGAGAGAGAGAAGGGAGACATTGATTCAAACACAATTGATAGAATGAGAGTGAATTCCATGTGTAGAGGCTGTATAAGCTCACAGCAAGTTACTCCCAAGCCCTGAGTCTCTCTCCCCTTCCAGAGAAGAAGGTAGAATGGTCTAGACCGGTCTAGAAAGGTGCTACAGCTTAGAGATGACATGTCCATCCCCCTTAACAACAGACCGCTGCCAGGCTGAACCGTGCCAGCCTTGGCAGTCAGGTGTTACTCTAGTTCTCAGGTTCTTCAGCTGGCCCTCGTGTCTGCCTCTAGACTGGCCCCTACATCTGAGCCTTTTGCACAGAGAGAGAGAAGAAAGCCCCAAGAGATGCCTGGCCCAGAGCAGAACAGCCAGGATTGCTTTAACTGGCCCGGGGAGATGGTGGAGGGGTGTGGGAGACCTTGAGTGATCTGCAGAGCACGATGAAATTTGGGGGCCCCTTCGTCCTGCCCTGAAGGAGGCACTCATGGGCCTTTGCCCCGAGATTTCCATATTTTCCATCCCACAGCACTTTTGCCAATTCAAATGGCTGCGATGGGCAGAAATGGGTCTGGAAAGTGGGGAGTGTGCCAGGATTGCAGCTTGACAAAGCACAGGGCTTGGTACAAGTCATGAAACATGGTCCAGGGAAATCCCCACAGTGAAGTGCCCCATCTGGTTTCCCCATCACTTTGGGTAACTTTCCATTGCCACACACGCACCCCTACCCAAACCCCAGGCCTCTTCTAAAGAAGCTATTGCTCACCTAGTGACCTGTCAGGCATGAGAATCAGAAGCAATAGTGAGCCCAGTTCCTGAACTGGAGAAACTACACTCTGTGTGAGAAGATGAAAAACTTATACCAATGAGACAAGCAGGGAGGACCCAAGAGCGCACACGATGGCCCAGGGACAAACGGCAGTGCAGGAGGGCGAGGGGGTGGGGAGGGGGTCGATGTGAGCTGGAGCCGTGGGAAGAGGCTTCGAGGAGGATAGACAGCCAGTGCACAGCTGCACGGGAATTAGTGAACATGGGGGAGGGGAGGTCGGGGAGCAGGGGACAGACACTGGAGTACAGGATCTGACAGACCCTAGAGAGAAATGGAGTGAAACAAACCGCCACTTATTGAGTGCCTACTGTATGCTGCACACTTTCCATCTGTTGCTTCATTTTATTCTCCCAACAAGAGTAGTACTATCTGCCAGGCTCGGTGGCTCACGCCTGTAATCCTAGCACTCTGGGAGGCAGAGGAAGGAGGATCACTCGAGGTCAGGAGTTTGAGACCAGCCTGAGCAAAAGCGAGACCCCCATCTCTACTAAAAAAAAAAAACAAAAAAATAGGAAAGGAATTAGCCAGACAACTAAAAATATATAGAAAAAATCAGCCGGGCATGGTGGCGCATGCCTGTAGTCCCAGGTACTCAGGAGGCTGAGGCAGAAGGATCGCTTGAGCCCAGGAGTTTGAGGTTGTTGTGAGCTAGGCTGACACCATGGCATCTAGCCCAGGCAACAGAGTAAAACTCTGTCAAAAAAAAAAAAAAAAAGTGATACTATCTTTATTTCCATCTTGCCAATGGGGAAACCAAAAGATTTATATGAATTTAGACTTGCCCTGTTGGCCAATGAGAAGTCTCTGCCAGTGGCCAAACTGGGGAATAACTTGATAGTAATGGTGACAGAGTAAGATGGGCCTGGCCATGGTGTCCAGGGTGCTGGAGAACATTGTCCATCAACCACGTGAAGGGCCATGACACAGAAGTCCCCCGATGACTTTGGAGCATTGAATGCTAATTTCTGACGCGGGGGTTCGCCCTCTTGACTCGGGTGCACTAATCCTGGCCTTCGCGCCAAGGGCCGCTGCCCACACCTGCTGCCAGCCCCGTCCCTGCTGTCCTCCCCTCGGTGCTCAGCCTCTGTCTTGTGAACAGCACCCTCCTCCCTAGCCTGCCACGGGGTGCTACAATTAATCACCACCAACTGTTACGGAGGTGTGATCATAACAGCCAACACACTGTGGCTATGACTAACGGAGCAGTGTTAGAGGTTCAGAAAGCATTAATAATTATTACAATTAAGTTTTCCTGCCTTGTGTTCTTTGTTTCTATTTTCTGAGGTTCCGGGCATGCAGTGGAGGGTGAAAGGAAGGCCCAGGCTTTCCGGAACGGAGGGGGCGTGCCGTTCAGTCCCGCCGCCCACCTGGCCTGCGGTGGGCCAGGGGGCTGCCAGCTTGGGGTCCCAGCCGACCCTCCAGGCAGCACCTGGTTGGAGGTCTGAGCAATACGGGGGGTGGCCGGGGGTGAGTCAGGCCAGATGGGGGATCGGAGGCGTCTGCCAG